TTAAAAATTCAAGATTAACTGTCCATTTTTTATAGAATGCGCAGTGCTTATTAAGGGATTAATCACATTTTTTTTCTAGAGTTTAGTCATGCTTAAACTTTACCAATTAACTCATAAACTGAATAAAAAGGACGTGATCTATATAAGTGTAAATATATGGGAAAAATCTCTCACGGACCAGTCAGATTCAAGCTTTTGTAGATCAAAAGAGGATCACATAAGAATTATTACTATTGATATTTTATATGGTAGACTCTGCTAAATGAAATGTGGAGTGTCAGCCAGCCTAATTCGGTCAACAAATTAAGAAAAGTCCCTAGACACCTCTTGAAAATGGCCTGAAATGTGCTATTGATATTAATATTCCTTTCGCATTAACGTTGGATTTTACAAATATATTTCTTGTCCAAGCGTATCGGCCAAGAAGGTTTATTTGTCCACTCTTTTACATTAAAATAATATGATAATATAGAAATGTTGTAATTAACAACCAATTTAGGGACACCGTTGGAAGTTTTCTTCTTTTATCTGGGACCACAGAGAACATCAATCTGCTTTTTAGCATCTCCTTCCCTCTAACTTCTGCTCTCATTTTTTGATTGAAAGAAATCGTTCTGCCTAGTATCACCACAAAAAGGACTCACAAACTTTGGTTGATTAATTACTGACCATAGAAACGGGTAGTGAAAAAGTACTTCAATCATCAAAAAAGGCATTTTTAGTGGAGTATTTAAAGCGAAATTAAATGGGGTAAAGGAGATTTCTATATTATATTTTATGATTTGTTATGTCCTAAAAAGTGAGCAACTAATAAAACTAACAAAATCTCATAAAATAGCGATCACAATACAAGTGCAACATACCGGCGTGCAATATACATACGGCTAATGAGTAATGAATCTTCTACACATTTAGTCAGTTTATATCTGACAATCATTTCGTCAGCAGTGATAAAACAATAAGAAGATCAGAAGATAGTATTCAGTATGAAGTAGTTAAAGAACGATTTCAATCAAATGACTGAAATCCAAGACTTAGTAGGAGTAAATTATTACAGAGTTAGCTTTACGAAACTGCATAACAATTGCAAATAAAGTAGGGTTAACTACAACTGATTTACCAAAAAAAATAGCGGATGTAAATTGACACAAATACACCAAAAAAGTGTGTGGATACCAAAAGAAAACTTATGACACAAGCTGAAAAATGTTGTTCCAGTCTATGATAAAAGAAAAAGAAAAAAAAACAAAGATTTGTAATCTTCAGGACAATAGATAGCTGTCAGCATGGTAAGATAGCGTCCCAGTGACATATATATTTGTTGTTTACCAATCATTATGGCTAATTTTAGCAAAAAGTACAACATTAGCATCGAAGCGAATCAGAGACTCTAGAGACATTTCAAGCCAATTAGTTAGAAACGTTTTTCCCATACAATATCATAGTTTGTTGCATTATTGACATTTGTTAGGAGATGGTTTCTTTATATTGGGCCAAACATCTAATGTCAGAATACGTCGAAAATTAATTCAACGAGTCATTTATTGAACATGTTTTCGGCGGCCTGAACTGGTATTTCTATTGACATTTCTAATAATTTGACAATTGGATCTCAGAACGAGGGCGGTTGATTTATAGGAAAGGGTATGAAGTTACTTTTCTGATGTTTTGTATTTTATCTTGATTTATATATTCTAAAAGGATTTACGAGATTTGAACATTCGTGCTAGTCAGAGTTTCTTTTATAATCTATATTTAGGTTGTGATTAGAATATTATAACTACAAAGACTATCTTATATAATATTTACATCCATCTTAAAGATTTCTTACTAATTTGTTTGTGAATCGTTTGCATGTAAAATTGAGAATGGAAATGGGGAATGTGTCAAAGAGACAACAACCCGACCATAGAACAGACAACAGCAGAAGGTCACCAACAGGTCTTCAATGCAGCGAGAAATTCCCGCACCCGGAGGCGTCATTCAGCTGGCCCCTAAACAAATATATATACTAGTTCAGTGATAATGAACGCCATACTAAACTCCAAATTGTACACAAGAAACTAAAATTAAAAATAATACAAGACTAACAAAGGCTAGAGGCTCCTGACTTGGGACAGGCGCAAAAATGCGGCGGGGTTAAACATGTTTATGAGATCTCAACCCTCCCCCTATACCTCTAGCCAATGTAGAAAAGTAAACGCATAACAATACGCACATTAAAATTCAGTTCAAGAGAAGTCCGAGTCTGATGTCAGAAGATGTAACCAAAGAAAATAAACAAAATGACAATAATACATAAATAACAACAGACTACTAGCAGTTAACTGACATGCCAGCTCCAGACTTCAATTAAACTGATTGAAAGATTATGTCTTCATCATATGAATATCAGGCACAATCCTTCCCGTTAGGGGTTTAGTATCATACCATCATAACATATATGAGAAGAACATAACCCGTGTCATGCCAACAACTGGTTTTTAAATAAATGTGTTTAGTGCCGATGCAAAGACCCTATAAGTGAATCAATATTAACGCCAAAATATGTGTATTGTTTTCCGGATATATTTCCGATATTAAAATCTCTGGTTAATTTGTTTACGTGTCATTACTTTTTTTCCCATTAATGCATCTTTTAAATAGAAACCATCCTGATTTTTCTCATTTTTACTAAATGAAAACATGAATTTGGCTTTACAAATATAGTTCATAATCGTCAAAATTCTTCATTTTTAATTAGCAGTTGACTAATAATAAAAAAAACATAGTTAACCTCCGCATGATGATATCGTTATTTTTATAATTTGACAAGGTAGTTTATACAAAACTAAGATTTATGCTGTTTACATAATTGATATTTCTATATAAGTTGATACCAAATCCCAAATCATGACTCTGTATTGCCATTTGAATAATGATAGTATACACTTCACATGATTACGATGACGAAGACGAGATACATTACTTCACAAGTCCCTGAACCATGGAAACCATAGATACCATAAATATGCTTACAATTTCAACCCTTCTCTCTGATTGGTTGAAGGGTGAATGACACCCTTTGGTGCACTTTTTAATAAGCTCATTTGAAGATTCAAACAAAAGTTTGTTTGAAATTTGTGATTATTGGCAAAATCAAAAGTCATTGAATTTTGAAATGTTTTAAATGGTTAAGCTAAGTAACTTTGATTTATATATACTTGTTTTACTCTTGCAGCTTCAAAATAGATTTTTGTGGTGTACGATAACAATTGCTGTCAGTGTTTTCATATGATTTGCCTGAAGTAGAATTAGGTTAATTTGACTGAATAAAAATATAAACAGATTTATTAAGTAACATATGTTTTTGATCAACAAAACAAGATAGAATTCTCTAAGTGGTAAATGTTCCAATTGTTCTCTTACTAATAAGCTAAAGGGCCCAGCCTTTTCTGAAATCTGTTATACAGATTTGCATAAATCTGCATTTAGTACATTTTGCACGCGGTAATTGTAATTAAAGCCATCGTCTCATCGATATATGTCATTTAGGACGATATAAGTTTTTTTTTAAATTTCATCAATAATTAGAGCCATATTTATTTACGTAATACGTAGATTGATTATACTATCTCTGACAACTAAAATAAAAATTCACTGCATGCCTTTGTCTTGTTAGACGGATGGAAAAATACAGACACCTAACTTATCGCACTTGGTGAAAGTGTTAACGTCTTAAATTCGATGAAGCGTCTGTTATTTCAATTTCAAGACCTCGAACTATATTATATGAACATCCACGAACAAAATACCATGCAGCGTTAGATGAAAAATAAATAGAAAGCAAAACAGCTACTTTTAAAATAACAATTCGAGGAAGGACAGATGCCATCATTTTAAAGATAAGGCAAGAGACTTGCAGTAATGGAGAAATCTGAGGATCAAACAACCTGAACCCCTCTAAAACAACGTAGCGAACTATACAAATGAAGCTTTGCGTTGTATTTCATGTAAATTTAATGCCTCGAGCTATTTTCTGCTTGAATAAATCAATTCAAAATACTGTAATGATTTATTCCCAAGCTCAATTTCCATTCTTCTAAATAGAACCGACAAAACAATGCTCGTGATTATTTTATGCATTTCTTGAATAAATAATGACAGAAAATACGTAGGCTGTATCTAATCATTTCAAATTAGCAGCTTTATGAATGAATTATATAACTCATTATTTCAAAGTAGGAATGCTCAAGAGACATGTTTCATGAATGCGTTGTAATAGGTATATAGCAACTGTGTGCAAAATATTACATAATGAGGTAAAACTGAGTGAAATACGTCTTTATAAAAAAGTATGTTAACATCTTAAACAAAGAATTTATTTTTAAAATTCATTATTTCAGAATATTGCAATATTTGCGCTTACATGAAAACAATAATAATCAACGGCCATTTTTTATTTTGAATTTCGATATTTGAGCTCTCTGATCATTTGAGTGTGGTCTTTTTACCTTAAAAAAAATCTGTTCTGGGTACTACTATCGGAGCAGGAATCGTTTACCCTTATGTTTTGGTGGCGTTCTAATTGCCTAAACTATAGTTTTCTTTGTAGTTTTGGACTGTTATTTGTCTGTGACAGTCGTCTTTTGTTCATGGTGTTTTCGATCATTATTCAACTTATGTATTTGATTGTTATCAAAGCTTGACATCTTCTTACTCATAAGGAATTATGTTTTATGACATGCACTAACTTTTTTCTAAAAAAAATAAAAACATTGCAATATTTTGCTTTTTTTCTGTTTCTTTCTTACTTTCTCGCTTTTTTCGATGAAATATTTTTTTAGCAGATGTAACAACAAAACATCTATTCAATCTTTTCAAGGGAAACACATGTCTTATTCAAGGAAAATGAGGTCTTATGATATAATAGGTCATAAACATTTGAGCATGGTTAACATCCGAAATAATTCATTGTTTTTAAACCCATTATTAGCTTTGTTTTTTGTCTTTCTTTTCAGATGTACGCATTTTCTTTGAAGATTTGACCGAATTATGCTGTCTTAAGGATAGAAACTATCAAAGAACTTCAAAACATTTGAAAGACGATTTAATTCAGTCAGGATATAACCTCAAATAGTAATCTATGGTAAGTTCAATATTTACATGTGTGTAACTATCTACTATATAAGTACAGTACCACTTAATAACAATATTCAACGTGTACGTTCGAGATTAAAAGTAAAGGGGGAATGATACAACCAAAGTCCTTCTCTTCATTTAAATAACTTTATTTACATTCGGTTTTTCCACAATTTACGTAAGTATTTCGGTGTGTTCACGTTTCTCTAACATTTGATACTTCTGTATACAGGTAAATAATTTTTTGTTGGAGAAACGTGATTTTTTGGCAATAGGGATTAGTGCAATTATCTGTAAATGGAATTACAGTAAATCAAACTCCAGTATGTTTCAAATAGACAAATTGAAATAAAATAATCCAACTTTGAAACAAAAAATAAAAAAAAAACAAAAAATGCTAACGTAGTAACCAATAATTTGTTTTAGGAAGGGAAAAATCATATTGGTTATCAAACTATATTGATTGTAACTAAACGTCTTTTAAAAATGATATCAATATGCTTGAATTTCTTTTTATTGAACACCTTTTTTCTATGTTTGGTGTACGTGTTTGTAATAGAAAGTTGACTTTACAATGGGAAGGAACTATGCCCCAGTTCTTGTATACTTTTTTCTTTAATGGTTAGAGGCTTAAAGGGGCTTATCAAGAAGAATGAAGAAAGTCTAATATCCCTTTGACTTCACGCTATACTCTATGCAGATGTTGAATTTTCACTGAATAATTCAAATTTTGGTTAATATATTAATGGCGTTTATTTCATCGGAATTGAAATAAAGGACACCACAAGTATACAGTATAAACCAGCCTAAACTCATATAATTAAACAATACAGGTTGACAGCAACATGCCATTTCGCTATTTGTTTTGTTGATTTGCTGTCTCGTTGAAGTATCTTTTTTTCATAAGTTATTATTTGCAGCCCATGAAGATAAACAAGTAATTAATCAAAATAAGATGATATATATAACAACTTATTATATGTGTTACGGAAGCAATTAAACGGGGGTTTTATGTTTCACATTAATGCTGCTTCATTTAAATCCATTTCAAAACTACACAATGGGCATGAAAACCGATATGTTGGGAAATCACTGCACACGCATTAATTAATTTTTAAAAACGATCATTTATATTTGTATTGAAATTGAAGGTGATATCATTGCCAAAGAAATTAAAGAAGCGAAAATAAGAGAAAAGGGAGCGGTAGAGAACGAAAAAATTGACAAAATGAGACAAAGTTTCATCAATACACAAAAAAAAAAAAAAAAACACAGAGTAAAACTGTCAGGTGTTGTATAAGTGTTCAGCACGCGTCAACTGCAAATTAGGCATCATATGGTTAAGTGAAGATAAGTCTATTATTTTGTTATTCTTCAAACAAAAATGGAAAGGATATAAAAGTGATGATTGTAAAAGTATAAAAGGAGAGAGACTACACGTCGGCATACTGGTTACCTCGAACTTCTCACCAATCTTATTGATATGACGTAAATCTAAATACCTTTGTGGCTAAAATCGTTATCGACACCTGATTAATATGATATTTAATTTGCATTAGTATATTTTTGAGTTATCGACACCTGATTAGTATGATATTTGTTTTGATATCATTTATTTTTGGATACTCCTTCGCACAAAAAGGCAAAAAGGGATAAACAAGATGTACATTACATAAACAACGGGGGAAAAAGGGGGGTCGACCACTGATAAAAGCTTGGCTAACTTTTGATTGATTGCTGTTGGCATAAAGCATAGTTACAAATATTGCATACTTATAAAAGAAAATACTTTAATACATAAAACGATGAACATGAATTATAATTAACATTTGACAATAAACAGACCACATAAACCACCAACATATACAGTTCATTTTGTAAGAAGAAAAGACGGGAACTGTAGTCCGCAGCATCAAAATGAAAACATATTGGGTAGGGTTCTGTGCATAAAGAAGGATGAGCACTTTTTGTTCTAAATTTGTTTCATCCTTGGAGACATTTTCGGAAAATTAACGAAATCTGGAGGGATTTGAGTATAAATAAGATGCTAAAAGAAATGAGCAGCATTAAACAAAACTACACGTAACATCAAAATATCAAACGGCTTTGTACATTGCAATCTTTTAGTACAATGTTGGTGTATCATTTCTAATTTCACAGGTTTCTTTAATATTTTGTGTTGAAGGACAATTGAAAGTCAAATGAAATAAGGTGTATGTAAAAGAGTATGCATTGCTCTGGGTGCTTCAAAATGTTCGTGTAACTTTTTTTTTCTTCGAGATAAATAATCCAAATTTATCAAAATTTAGTTACGTTTCATGCAAATGTATTGGCCATTATTTTAAAGACATGTATAATACACAGCTACTTTAGTACAAACAATCTGGATGATGTACATTTAGTAAGATGCAAAATAAACTGTATACCGATTAAGATGCATACAAACTGTAATCTGCATCTCAACAAATGTACAGTGTATATGGATCTTAACACATGTACATCAAGATTGCTTGTACTAAAGTAGCTGTGTATTATATGGTCTACCAGTTTATGAGATGAGAATGGGTGTCTGAGACGGTGATCCAAGATGGGAAACATGAATATCAGTATTTCAATTTAGCCCAATTTTGTGATTTAAACATTAATCTATACATAGCCTTGGTTAATGCTTTTTATGATTGTTTTAGTTGTTGTATGTATTGTTGCTTTTTTTTGAGTGAGTTACTGTAGTTGCGCAGATTGCGGTGATGTTCAATACTTGTAGTGATTTTTAAATATATGTATATAATTACATTAGGTAGAAAAAAAATGAACTTACCCCGTTTTGAGGGAGGTCTAAACAGAAGTCTTATCCGTTTTATATTACCTCCTAAGAGAACATTTGCATTATTTACGTATTTGCTGGCGTATCCGTATCGACGTATCGTATAACCCGTATATGAGGAAAGGATAAATTAAGTCAAGTTGGTCCCGATGAAGATATTTTATAATGCATAACAATAACAAGAATTAATCGTATATTAAAGAAAGTAACATACATATAATACTTATAAACCCAATGTTAGATTAAAACAACAAATTGGTTCTTCGGGCTGCAAGAGCTGCACATAAACAAACAACCCTACTTAAAGTATCCCTATGATGTCTGTACAAAGTTCCAACATTTGGTGCATATTTTACCTCTGTTTAGTTTTAATTGAGGTCGGTGCTAAATCATTATTTAATACAAATCTGCCCGATACGTATATGTCGATTCGTGCACGTATCCAGATACGTGAATAATGCAAATGCTCTAAGGTTATGTTTATATTTTAACGCTTCACTGATTACACGTGAACTGGTTTAAACTATTTTAACTATAAGCTAGAAGTCATATATTGTTATGTTGTTGAATTACAATGAAATATAAAGTTTGTGTACCAATCTTTCGCAGTCAATCGTAGACAAAGGGATTCTCCCCAATGGACTGTGGCATCCACAGCCCTGAAGGAGTAGAATTCCTGTAAAGTCTTGGCCAATAGAATTCTCTTTGATTATTAGATGCTTGTTAACTATTTAGAGGATTCTCTGGGAAAGGTGGAAGGACTTAAGTGAGTGAGTGAATGTGAGAGAAAGATATTTAGAGAGTTAACAAGTTCTTGAATGTGTTGGTGGATGAAAAAAATAGCGAACGAGAAAAGCATGAACCAATAAGTGATCGAGAAAAAGTGAGCAAATGAGCGGGAGAGGGTGATCGAGTGAATGGGAGAATGTGAGCGAGTGAGTGAATGGGAGAGTTTGAACGGGAGAGTGATCGAGACAGAGTTAAAGGGAGAGAGTGAGCAAGTGAATGGGCAAGGAGAGTGGGAGAGTGTGCGCGTATGAGTGAATGGGAGAGAGTGAGCGAGCGAGTGAGTGAGCGAGAGAGTGATAGGAAAACAGTGAGCGAGAGAATGGTAGAGTGAACGAATAGAGTGTGAGCGAGCGAGGGAGTGAATGGGAGAGAGTGATCCGGAAACATTGAGCGAGTGAATGGGAGAGTGAACGAATAGAGTGTGAGCGAGCGAGCGAGTGAGTGAATGGGAGAGTGAACGAATAGAGTGTGAGCGAGCAAGCGAGTGAGGGAATGGGAGAGTGTGAGCGAGTGAATGGGAGAGTGAACGAATAAGCGATCGAGAAAGAATGAATGAGTAAAATGGGAGAGTGTGAGTGAAAGAGTGAGCGGAGTGAAACAGTGAGCGAGTGAATGGGAATGAATGGAGGGAGTGAGCGAATGAACGGGACTGTGACTATGATAATGAGTGAGTGAATGACCGAGAGAGAAACTGAACAAAAGAGAGTGATTGAGTTAACGATCAAGAGTAAGAAAGAGACAGAGTAAGTGAACGAGAGAGAGTTAGTGGAAGAGACAGAGGGAGAGAGAGAGAGAGAAATATTTAAGATGCATATATTAACTGTGTCTTTACAGATACAATTGAAATGTTTAATACAGTACATTTACTTTGATAAAAACTCATATACCAGCCTTATCATTTGGTACGCAAGACGTCGAATCAAAACAATTGGAAGATCAAATCAACACGAAGTTGAAAAGCATTGAAAACTGAAAATTCCGAAGAGTTGTTATAGTCAGCTGACTTATCTAGTCTACATGAGTTTGACCCAGGTTGTTTGCCTTTTAGTTGTCTATTTTGTGGATTATTGTTTGGGGGTCTGGATGGGGGTCCTTCATTTCTGCATCTTTAATTTTTATGTCATTTTTCTCTATTGTTTATATTTTTAACCCAATATTCTCTATTCTGTATACTTTAGCAACCCATTATTCTCTGTTCTTTATTTTTTTGCCTTATTTTTATCTATTTTCTTTTACTTTTTTGGGTCCATTTTACTGTAGATTTGGCCCATTATTCTCTATTATTAAACCCAATCCAGACCCTCGTGTTTGTCTGATGTTATTCTCTATTATTAAACCCAATCCAGACCCTCGTGTTTGTCTGATGTTATTGTCTATTATCTTCAATTATGGTTATGGTTACAGAATTATTTTTAAACTGATATAAATTTTTGTGCTTTGACATGATATATAGGTTTTACTATATTATTGTTAGAAACCTAAGCTGATATTTGCAATAGCTGTCACATAGATATGAATGTAAGTTTTAGAATCCATCAATACGCATCATGATCAGTAACTGATAAGTGAAGTCTCGAGATAAAGCTAATATAATTCAATTGGTGCCATAAAATGAGTCTGGAATACTATGATTTTTAAAACTGTAGTTATATAACTATTTGATCAAAACCACTATCAAGATTTGCCCGTCTTTTTATTGCATGTGTCTATATATAATCCACTGGGTTTATAATATAATGGTAGTTTATTAAGCTAACAAATCTAATGTCTAGATACGAAACAGACAGAAATTAGACTGGAAACATTTAGAATTCTAGTATCTAAATGAGCATCTGTACCATCCTCCGAAGTATCATGTAGTTCAGCTGAGAACATGATTGATTGATTGGTTTTGTGTTTTCAAAGTCCAGTGGCAAATATTTCATGTATACACATTGCGAAAACTTCTTAATATATATAAAATAGGTAGGTTCTACAAAGTGCGTCAACTCGAAAAATTACTTGATATTTATAATACCACTTGAAAAGGAAGAAATGTTGAACAGGGACAGAAAATTTGCTTTGCATCGGGCTTACTTCGACACCTCAAAGAGCTTTTACAGTTGCAAAAGTTCTAAATCGTGGCATTCTCCCTAAGCGAGACATCAGATGTAAAGAGTCCATTCTAGTCAGATGTACCTGTGTAATTATACATCCCGCAGAGCAAAACTGACGAATTAAAACAATCCAGGCTACCATAGTTCTATATCTAATTAAATCCTTCGTGTTGGCAGGAGTATTACAAACAATAAATAATATTGTAATCAAGAATGTTCATATTTACTCAAAGCAGGTTTAAAGCTTAATAATAGAGACTACATTACGTAAACGTAAATATATCAGAACTAAAATAGTTCTTCCCTATAAATTTAGCCTTAAATTCAGCAGAATGCAAACATTTTCAAACTTCGTAAAGACGGAATTAATATATTTACTTATTTCAATATATATTTTTCTTTTTGTTGATGCAACTTTTGAACTTTCTTTACATAAAAAGACAACACAAATGAGAAAAAAATCTATAAGATGATTTTTTGCCAGAAGGGGTTGCAACCTTTGTATCATTTACTCATGCCAGTATCGAATAATTGCTCCAGTTATGCGGTCTATAAAATATATTTGTCGATTTTGTACATAACTGAACTCGACTTTCCGCCGTTAACCTTCTGGTTGTGCCACTCTGTCAAAATGAGTTATCTCTGAAAAATTTGCCGTTTTTGAATCTTATGCTTTCTGGGTAACATTTTCAAAAGCTTACACCAAAATGTTGAAATTGGTTAAGAGCTTGCTAAATAATAGAAAAAACAATCAACGACGTTACCTTCTTTTCAATTTGAGGTACGAACAATGAAATTACCCATTATAGTCCTTTAGATTTTGAAAAGGCCATATCAAATATAGGTTTTACCTAATCAATTACCAGGTGAATCCAAGTAACGTTCCATAAACTGATGTCACTGAATTTATCTTTCAGAATCCAATGTTTACTAAGATGTTACAGGCATGAAAACTACGTGGCAAAGGGCATTTGCCATACACTAATGCCTATTTCATACATGATTTTTAATTCAATAGACACTGATCCTTGCTTTTGCACAAAAATCGATGTTATTGTATAACTGCGTAAAGTGATATTTTGAGAAATGTCAGATTAATATATCAAGGCAGGTGTCCAATAAATTTAGTCTAAGTGAGTCAGAGTTTATTAATCATATAAGCCAAAGTGTGTCCGTGTTAGAGGTCTGTAAAATGTTCTGCTATTTAACTTTGGCATTTCCTCTTTAGGTTGGAAATGTTGTAAATTGCGCTTTGGATCTTCTTACTTGTAAGTAGTGTAGAAGTGTATATAATAAGCAATAAATTGTAAAAATTCGAAATAATTTAAACGCAAAAAAAATATGAAGACCAATACTTGTTTAATGCAACAGTTGAATTTTTAACTAACCCTTTCGTTTAATATAATAAGAGACTTCCGTGCTAACAAGTTTTCAAATAATTGATACTATGAATTGATGATGTTTTAGTGATTTAGTGTTTTCTTGTTATCTTTGATATAAAAATAAGAAGATGTAGTATGCTTTCCAATGAGACAATTCTCCCCAAGAGACCAAATGACACAGAAATTAACAACTATTGGTCACAGTACGGCCTTCAAGAATGAGTAAAACCCATACTGCATAGTCAATTATTTAACGGAAAAAAACGCGCATAAAGAGTAAATTAGAAAAAAAACGACTATGCCAACAGGATAATCAAAACTAATAAGTCAAAGGATAGACAACACTATGGCAAAACAAAGAGACAAGACAAACTACAGTTCATAGAATTAATACAGAGCATTACAAACTCCAACGAAAAGCGTTAACTCATGTACTCCGGAAGGATATTAAGTTTCTGTTTCCTGAAGTACATGTAAGAGATTATTTTAATCGGAAAACCTTATGGCAAAAATCGATAGGTCGAAACAAGATTTAATGCATAAAGACTAGAAAAACTAATCAAAAGCAAATATGCACAATAATTAAAAGACAATATTCTTGACCATATGTAAACAAGAAACATTATTAAAGGCAATACAAACTTGCGCCCACATACATGAATTATTCTTCAAATTGGTTCACCAAAATGCGGAGGTGTCTTTATCTGATTTTTTATTGAAACAAATTTCTTTACAAGAGAAATTGTGTCAAGGATGACTTTATTTCTTTGAAAATGCACGATCTGAAGTAAAATCAATTTTTGAACAATACTAAACCATAGCATAGAAAGATTGGATAATTATTTCCATCTATACTATCTTACTTACAATGGTGGTCGTAATGTCAGTCAGAGTACAAGGAGGATGACTTAGTAATAACATGAGAACTCAGAAACATAATGTGTATCTTTTGTATGCAAAATTGGAGCGTTAGCGGAAACAGGCGGGTGTTCCGGGGGTTGGAACCACCCCTTTTGTTTTCTTTCTTATTATGTGAACGTTTCATGGGGTTGGAATCCTCACTCCTTTTCAAAATGGCTGGATCCGCGCCTGTGGCGATGATAAAATTCAGACTAGTTATGTTGGTTCTAATGCTGACAATATCTATTAACTACAAAGGTAAAAACCCATAAAGCTCATTCTTTGTGATGACATGAAATATCATTGATTTGTTCATTTTCTGTAAATTTACTGTATATAAGATATTGCATTTTTCGAAACTCTACAGGTTTTTCTATCCCCCAGGAATAGTTTCCGTTAGCCGTATTTAGTACAACTTTTCGGAATTTTCGGTTTTTAATGTTATTCAACTTCGTATTTGATTTGGCCTTCAATCTGTTTTGATTCGATTGCTACTAATGATTCTTATGTAGAATAAACGAGCGTCTGGCATACAAAATTATAAGCCTGGTATCATTGATGAGAGTTTATAATGATTAAATAGCCTGAAATTCAGTAGTTGTCGCTGTATATCATATTTGTTTTTTCGTTTATTGTTTTGTACTAAATCAGGCCGTTAGTTTTCTCGTTTGAATTGTTTTATATTTGGCATTTTGTAGTCTACTCTGCGGAACAGGTTTTGCTCATTGTTGATGGACGTACGGTGACCTAAAGCAGTTAATTCTACTTTATTTGGTCTCTGATGGAGGTATGTCTCATTGGCAAGCATGCCATATACTAATATTCTAATTTTTATAAATAGATAAAAAAAATGTTACTTAAATAGCCATCAGCTTTTTCTTCTGAGAAATTTAGTGGAATTTATACGCCGACGCTTTATAAAAACATTGAACAAAAAATATATGCTCAGCTGGTATAAAAAAAAATCCAACGATCATTAAACAAGAAGTGACCTTCTGAAGAAGATATAAATCGCGGATATTGTACAATTCATCATAATAAAGTTCTGGATCATGTGTCAAATCATTTCTTAATTCAAGAGCGGAGGAATTCACAAACAAATCCTCAGTATGTACTATATAAATCAAAAAGTATCGTCAGGCAGGGAACACGTGACTGCCCGGCAGATGTAAAAACTAATTACACTATACAGCTCATCAAATACCGACCGTGCAAGGGCTGTATAGCCAGTCAAGGTCGTTAAAAACTTCCATATATGTAGTTCATCATTATAAAGTTCCAGGCCATATATCAAATCGTCCCAAATGACAGAAGCGGTGTAATATGAAAAAAGGGCTTTGGACGGACAAACGAACGGACGGACGGACACGTATACCATCCACTCAGGTGGGGTGTGAAAAGGGAATCAATCTGAAATTAATAGAAAAACTATTTTTGTGTAAGCCTCTATGAACCTTTATTTCGAAAACCATATTCTCTAAAAAGTGCTTAACGACATTTTGTTATGTAGACGACTCCGGTTTTGAAACGATCAAACTGTTTTATAATCTTAAAAATAGGCAGATCAGTTATTTTTTGAAAGTCTATACCAACTTCTTTCGTTTTAAATGATAACAACATTATAACATTGAACAAGTTAGATTTCCCTCTCAGATTTCAGGTATTTCAAATTTGAATTAGATAAGAAATAAAAAAAATCTGATGCGTCGACGATGCTGAGCTCCAGTTTAACACTTTTATCTAAGAAATCGTAAGATAAGTCAAACCTGCTGTAAAGTGATGGCAAGATATTTCATTAGATATCGAAGAAAAGAAATGAACATTTTACTCATTTTGAATCTGGTTTATTTTTATTCCTTTGATAAACTACTGCTTTATATCACTCCTCCAATCAGTGTAAGAACTGGATTTGTAAGCTTGCAAATTTATAGTCGTACCCCCCCCCCCCCCCTTCCCCCCGCAAGTCTTAAGCCATTGTTACCAGATCTATACGTTAAATGATATATATTGTTAGAAAAACACAATAACCCGTCAGAAATCCCGCCTTGAGATTTATGAGGCAATATACAGTAGATTGACCTTAGATTTTCATAAGCTAGAAGGCTGGACTCTATTGCATTTGACACTTAAGCCACACGACTTGGAGACTCAGTGAGGGCTGACATAGACCCACTGAGGCTGAGACTAAAAGTTATCAGTTTTAAACACATGATTGTAACATGTTACGGTTAGTAAAAAGACATTGGTATAGATGAATTAGTGTTTACCCTAAACAATTGTAATAACACTTTATAATATTGTGTTCTTCTGAAACGCTTTTCTTGATTTACCTGGAATACCTGAATGACTGAGGAGCTAAAGGGGGCCTAAAAAGAATAGTCACATTCATGAACGATCAATTTTGCCAATAATACAGATGTTCAGTTATCAAGTGGTCAATTTATTACGTCTGGAGATTTGACACATACAGTATTTATAGACATTCAGTTCCTTTCCTTGTTATGGAATTCATTAAATTTAAGGCAAATCATCGTAAAGTAAGAATTTTAGGATGGTTGGTCAACCAAAATATGCCCGAACCAATTATATCTAAAGACAAACTATGAGAACGACAGCAGTATACCGTAAACAATTACAGTATAAACTGTCTGGTACTTATAATGGTTGGGTAACACATTTTATCCATATATATACCATCACGAAATATCGAACTATTTTCATCATACTATTATAGGCAATTATGGATTATTTTACTGGTTGCTTATTTGCCGACTTTGAATCAGAGCTTTATATTTCCCTGGTAACTGGAGACTTTCCTTAAATTTAATAGCGTCCTTTATTTTTAACATCGTTTGAACAAAAGAGGTCAATTAAATTGGTTATATGTTTCTATTAAAATTTATTAACGACAGTTTTCTATTATGTATCAAAGGACTCGAGTTGTAGGAGTTCAGGTTATTACAATTTTGCAAGGGAAATGGATTTTAAATGTCAGATTTAGAACAATAAGTTAGAAAATGCACTTGTAAATTCAATGCAGTGATGTTATAGGACAGACAAAATTCAAAGCTATCTCTGTATCAATACAATTATATAAAATGGAATGAAAATAGCTCCTTTGAGGAAATATGTCAATGTGTTTTGGCTTAGGTTCCATATAACTATATTACCATAGGATAATTTCAGCAAACATTTAGTTTTGATAAGGATAGTAAAGAGCACTTCCTAAAATCCTCTTTTATTATTTGAATACTTAAACAATTAATAGAATAAGATACACAATTTTGTGTATAGTTATATTATTTATGAAGTAAATACGTATAATAGTTGTCTTTCAAAACACTGTACGTTACAGTCGGTTTCATGTTTTAAAAAAATTTTAAAAAAAAAACCTTGAATTTTATAATTGTAGGATATCTTTCAACTGAACATGGGGGACGAGTTAAAATCAAAAGTTTTGATATTATTGCAATATTGCATTGAATGTTATTGATCTTTTTAGAAAAGTCAAAAGTCATGTATTAAGTCGTGTGTTTCACATAAGTATGGATTCGGGAACTGCTTTAGTAACAATTTGTGTTAAACCCTACTATTCTAGTTTAGAAAATTTGAAACAGCAGATTTGAAAAGTCAAATCATCTTTGTGAATTACTAGATATTTAAGCATCTTCATTAAAAGAAATAAAAGATTATCTAGACCCAGAGCAAAACATGAAATTATAAATCATTATGGAAAAACCAAAGAACTTAGATAAGAAAGATTAAAGGGCATACGATACAATTGTGATCCCACGGTGAATTTTTGACTAAAGTTTGCATACCAGCTATTTTTCACCTAGTGAATTCAAATATATATTAAATAATATACCTTCATGTGCTACTTTTAGAGATAAAAGGTGTCAAAATTTTAGACCTTTACTGGAAATTTCGGTTTCTTGGACATTTCAATCATTTGGAAAGACATACTTAACTTTCTGTTTCAAAAGATAAACGCTAGTGGATTTTTGTAAAATCATCTGGAATCTCTTCTCTACATTAGTGTGTATTAAATTTGTGCAACAATTCTTGAGAAATTATTCATTTTTATCACATTTTCATGAATTTAGTCAAAAAAATATCATATGCTCTGTTTTAAAATAAAAACTTATACATCAGCAACAATCTATACTTATGAAAATCATTGCAGACAACAAAATTTGGGTAAACCATATTCAGAACGAGTGCGGAACATATTTGCATCAGGGAAGAATACTAACTTCTTTTCTGCATATTCAATACTAGTATATCGGTACACATTATGCTTTAGTTATACAGCTTAGCTAAATTCCAAAACATATTTTTGATTTATGTAACGTAACGTATTTTAAAGAACATTGATATATATTATGATGAATAAATATTTGTTCTTCTTCAAAACTTGTATCAATGTTGGGACTGATGTACATTTTATATTTATATACATGTATGTTAATTGTTTTAAACTACTATTACGGGGTTGTTTAACGGCCTTGACTACCCACGAGGGTCTCGCACGGTCGGTCATTGATTTATACAAAATCATAATAATTTTAAATAGAAAGCTGGACAGTTTGAAATATTTGATGAAGATCCTATTACAGAAGTGATCATTGAGCCTCAATGAAATGTACATGTATCTGATAAGAATGACGTTCGAATGACGTTAAAACATATAATATTTCCTGAAACTGGAATCTTATCTGCTTATCACTGACTGAAGTCGTGTAAAACAAATGTTACTCCTTTGGTGTATAATGTGTTATATAATTTTAAGTAGAAACTATTGTTTTGCTACTCAGTATGTTTTTCATTATTCGAATAATTTGGTTGCAGTAAAAAGTAAGAACGAAACAATTAAAAACTTTTAGCGGAAAAAAGACAGACCACAGCTTTGTCAAACTATATTAAAAAAAAGGCGGGAAAGAAAAATAACACTCCATAATACACCATGTGGAAAACAACTAAGATAAGCGACACGAACCCCACCATAAAAAACCGGAAAGAACTAATTAATGTGCTTCGGAAGGGTCAGTAAGAATATACAAACGTGTTATTAAACGGGACCAGTAACAAAACACAAAAATGAAAAATGCATATATGTTTGTATTGTTTTGTATTGTTTTGTCTTAATTGTATTATTTTATTATTTAAAAGGATGACATATATAATTTATTATTTTCTGTTATCAGTTTTTTATGGAAGACATCCATGATTTCATTATTTCTAGAGATGGAAAGTAAAGTAGTTAGTTTGTGTCAGTCTTGACGTAGATTGGACAGAATTGACGGGAAAAAGGAAAAGAGTTACTGCAGGCCATAATAAATGATCCAGTGACCCAATCTCCTGCCTGTCAAACACCCATCTGAAATGTTAAAAGATTAGCCAGGTTTGGGGGCTACACACGATCTGACTTTAACAAGCGCTCCCTATCTTTAATGACAGTTAAGTCATTGTCAATTATTATTCAATTCATATCAAATTTTTGCCGAGTTACATATTTAATTTATATATGAATTTATCCATGTCCTGAATTTAGCTGATTATATAATAATATACTTGTCACTTAACATATTAAGCAATTGTTAATCAACCTTGCTGTTATTCAACAAGCTGTTAGTCTGCATGCTAAGAGTTTCGTTGCATACGCCACTTATTTTTAAAGTATACATTTTCCTTATAATGTAAGCAGTATCATTATTATTATAAGTTTGAATTGTATCCGACCAAATCTTATTATGTAAATCAAATATTACTTTGAAAAAGTACAACGTTCGTGAAAATTATTAAGTAAAAACCGATAATTCAGTGGTATGCTTTAACCTTGAAAAAACGTATTTAACACGAATCTAAGATTCAGTCCCTCTGTCTAATACATACAGAAATAATGATTTTTCTTTCGTTAAATAACACGGTAATTATAACGCATTATGTCAATCTTACGAAGTTTGGTTATTTGACATTTCAAAAAATCTTTCATCCCTTTTCCAATAGATTTTCTACATACTAGTTCAAGCTGTCGTAGTGTAACATCAGGCGTAGAGATAAACTATTTTTCTAATAAAATTATTAGCCTGTACAGAGATTAACAATAAGAAATCGACTTTCTATTCCATCAACATGATAAAGTTGTTTTCGGTATTGCAGTTCGTGTGAAGTCCTGGGAAGTAATGGCTTAGGTTTTATTTCTGCTGGATAATTATTCATCATCATTAGATGTAATACGGTATAATTTACAAGTCAAATCACTTTTCCAGGTAGGCTTTTTTTTTATTTATATCCATCTTTTCTGTTGACGGCAAATCTCTCCAAGTAAATTCTAACACTCCTTGTTTGGAATATAAAATCTGGAACTTATTCGTAACACTGCAATATTTGGAATATCAGTTAATTGTCATCAATTTGCATAACGTAAGTCATTATTTTAACTTTTTGACTAGTCGCTTTTAAAATATTTTAATACAGCGTGGTCTTATCTTTATCCTCACGTTGTATCTTTATTTTTCTCTCTCGGCTCAATGTAAAGGCTGCCTATATAATAAACGATCGTGTCGGTACACATATATAAAAATGCAATAAGTCAAAAAGTCGGGAATTTTCCCAAATATCCACTTAAATAAAATAAATCTGAAGGTCAACTTACAGGTCAAATATCTCAAATGAAAAAGGTATATAGAGACGCATCTACAAACTCCAGCTTTGTGAAATTTGGCGAGCAACATCTCTTTGACCATGACCATGGCTCCAAATAAATATCTTATTACATTATTTCCGCTTATGGTTATTTGGCTTTGTTATGAATGATATCAATAGTTGCATTTAGTGGACATAATCAATAAACTAGAATGATAGTAAATGACTTTGTTTATCCATAATTATTTCTATCTATTAAAGTTATTTACAAAGATTACGTAAATTAAAACGTTCAAACTAATATTTTTCCATAATATGTATCATAAACACTGAAATCGATTTTATAACTTCGGAAGCATATGTCCTTCGTCACGTCACGTATTTGTGATAATGATGACGTATCGTTAAGACTATGTCATCGTGTATAAGTAGGATGCCTAAGCATATATAGTCAGCGGAGAGATTGTAACTGTCATCAGAAATCTTGCTTTAAGTCAGGAAGGTAGTTAAGAAATATGAAGTGAATTATTGTCCTTTGGAACTATGCTTAATCATAACTAGTCCAGTATCGGAATATATCATTGAAAATTATACCATAAGGTAAGCGTAAATTATGAACTGCATGGGTGCAATAATTGCTTTTGAAAATTCCTATTACTAAACTTCCACGACCGGCAATGTTGATACTTGTGCTAAAATTACGTGTACTGAATATGAACAAATTGAATTATTTTTTTATTTCGATTTTTAGGAATATAATTTTTTATGATATGTTAATCAATTTATCAAAAACAATGTTGAATTCAAATTTTAAATACCAGATAAGGCATGCTTATTGTATAAGAGACATGCTTGTACAACGAACTGCACAGAGATGACGTGATAAGTTTAAGTAACAAAGTTTTTTTGTAAAATTGAATAACAAAAAAACAAAAAAATTACCTTAGAACTGATTTGAATAAAATAATAGTAAAAATGGACAATAAATGGTCTGTGCAAATGCAAAGCTATTAAGTTTAGATACAACTTTACTTTCAACAAAAACTAAAAGAGGAACATATTTGGAGATAGTAAATCACTTGTTTCTGCAGTAAGTTGATTTCTTAAAAAAAAAAAAAAAAAAAAAAAAAACGTAAAAGATGACTTCTGAAAATCAGTAAGATTTTTCAGAAAAATTCATTTTCCACTTTTTGAGATTTGATATAAATGCATAGCTTAAAATGTGCTACTTGTTTGCTATTTTTTGGTAAGAAAAAATTGCAATAGACCTATAACACAGAAATCTCTTCAATAACATCAGTATATTAGATGACCGACATTATCTTAAGAAGTTATACACAATTATACTTGTATATACAAAGAATCATTAGCCAAAAATAATTATAGTAATGAAAAATTGTACACAAGCAATCAAGCAAGTATGACAAAAAGTGTAAGTTTAAAAGCAGTACCTTAGCAACAGAAGGTAAAATATTTATTTTATTGCATAACTCCTTGCAAACTAAGAAAGTTATTGGAAGTGTAGAAATTTATACAACACGCGGTGTGTTTAATATTTTTAGAAGATTCGCGTTTTTTAATCTTTGGTTTTCTGTAGGGTCTTTTTGTATTTTATTCCTTGGACTATTTCAATTTGTGGTTAAATGGATATCATATGTTATTCGTGATCTCCACAGGGGATATGGTCTCATATTTCCTGCCAGAGTTTTATATCTCCTGGGCCGCTAGTCGAAAGGGATATAGGACATTGACAGGGAATATGTGAAGCCCGAATAACACTTATATCATACTGGAGTGTCTTTATTTGAACATTAATTACCTTCCTGATTTTAGTTTTTTTCACAGGGTATATGGGCTCATATACCCTGTCAAGGTAACCAATCAAATTGCAGGATTAGCCGGGATATTTCTCTCCAGTATAATATATAAAATTATTCAAATGAGGGAACGATTTTCTATTCTTGATAAATGAAGAAAAAAGAAAGGTCTATGCATGACAAGAGATCATACTATAATTGTGAATACAAAATACAGAAGATTGTAAATCATTAATTCTAAATAAACAATTTCAAGCATTTATTGTATACTACTTTATCAGCATTATACATAAAATACTAACATCAAATAGGTTAATCCCACTACCATATCTGGAATATAGACCACAAAGATCAATTTTCTATAAATTTTCTATGATATTGTTAGGATTGAATCTGAGCATAGACATCAAAGGCAATACTAAAGAGCACATTTGCAACGTTTCGTTAATTTGATGAGAACATTTTTAGGGCAAATTAAACTTTCAAGTTTAAAAACAATAAACATCTTTTGCAAAAAAAAAAATCATATTTTGAAATAATTTTACGATTTTCTTCCCCGAAGATTTTGATACGTTACACTTTAATTACATATAATATTTAAAAAAATATTGACATAACTAAAGATATGCAATGTCCTTAATCAAAATATAACATTTAAAAAGAATAGATTTAAATCTAGAGGTCCAGTCTGATATATTTATTGCATATCTGACAAGCTCTTCGACACAACAATCATGAAGTAATAGTTACTGGCCATTATAGTTTACAAAGCTTTCATCTCTAGAAATGATTATCTGGATCTAATTGATACCTGACGTCACAGCAGTTTACCGTCTTTAGATTATAGCTACGAAAAAAGTATTTATAGAAATCTTTATTGTTTTCCTATCTATTTCTATAAATCTGATTTTCGATTTGCTCCGAGTAAACAACTGACTTTGAAACATATATTTTCAATGTTTTCAGTATGACGTGATAAGCTTCATCAATAGTTTGTTATCATTGATTTTGTTTATCATAAATTTCATTTAGGCAGATAGCTACAGCTGCTGCAAATATACATAAACACCAACGCATACATGTACTTGTAAAATATTAAAAAAAAAATCATTTATGACATCTTTTTTTCTTTTATTTCAGATGTGAAGCTCAGAAAAAATTTCTAACAATGAGTAACAACACTTCGAACATTCCAAGATCGCCTAGATTAAGCACACCAGATAATCTTCTTCAACTTTGTTTACGAGATCATTACGATATTTTGCGAGAACTTGGAAGAGGAACATACGGCAAAGTCGTTTTGGCAAAATGCAGAGAAACTGGAACTAATATTGCCCTGAAAATCCTTCCAAAGACGCACGTTAAACTGAAGGAATTTCAAAGGGAATTTAACCTTAGCTACTTTCTGTCGCCTCATACTAATATTGTTGACACATACAATGTTGCATTCGAAACCAGAGTTTCTTTTGTATTCGTACAGGAATTTGCGCCTTTCGGTGACCTTTTTGATCTCATTTCGCCACAGGAAGGAATGTCAGAAAAAGATTCAAAAACCGTAATGAAACAAATTTCGTCGGCACTGGACTTCATGCATAGTAAGCAATTGGTACATCGAGATATCAAACCTGAAAACATTCTAGTGTTTGAGAAAGACTTCAGCAAAGTTAAGCTTATGGATTTCGGCATGTCAAGAAAAGAAGGTACAATAGTTAGAAAAGTGAATGGATCCATTCCATACACACCTCCGGAAATTTGTGATGCCGTCAGAAACGAAAGCATCAGTGTCTCTTCTTCCGGTGACATGTTTGCATATGGAGTATTGCTTTTCTGTATGTTGACGGGGAATTTTCCATGGGAAAATGCTGACATCAGTGACATTTACTATAACGAATTTATTCAATGGCAACGAAGAAAAACGACCAAAATTCCATCCCAATGGCGAAAATTCACACCTCGTTTAATGAGGTTCTTTAGAAAGGCACTTGACTGTAAACCGGAAAGACGATGTGAGGTGAAAGACATTAGTAAATACATTAACGACAATTGGTTACGTCAAACCAAAACGTCTAACGACAGTGATTTTGAAGATGACGTCACGGATAGTGATCACATGGACAAATTAACAAATATTTTACAAGATCACGGTATTGAAACTAAAGTAGACAAACGATTGCGGGAACGCAGAATTTCTGAATGGTTGCTAGCATCGTAATATATATACCAATACATCACTCACCAGAGAGCTTTCATTAAAGTATATATTCATAAAATTTATTTGAAAATAAACAGATATGTCATATTTTATTTGGCTTTTTGCGTTTTATAAAAAAAAAAGAAATTGTGTGGTATAAATCAATAGAACAGCTACCTTTCAACATAAAAAAACACAAAGACTAATAAACTTCCATGAGGAAAACACATGCGTTCATTTCCACTCAAAGTGAAGTTGCAGAATGGTGATATTTTCAATTGAAGTAATATGCATGTGTGACAGCAACCAAACGACACACAAACAACAAACACAATATATCTAGAAGTCAACATACAATCTTCAACTATAGACTTATGTCTTTACAATATGCCAAGCTTTAAATTGCTACATGTCTTAACAATAAGTTCAATTTAACATATTTTATACATAATGTCCTTTGTTTAGGCATATTATGATGTCAAACGCAAATAGCGATTTTAACAGAAGTTTTTCTATTAAACACTAATCTTTTCAGTTAAGATTCTTAGCATATTCATGCCATACATTTCTTTTCATTGAAAATTTAGAAAGTCAATTTTTAAACGAGGCAGCTTGGTATAATTATGTCAACTTATTTCACCAAATCAAGTTTTGACTTTTTTTGCTATAATTTAAAAAGCGGCCATATTGAACTGTACATGCATGCATGGAAAAAAATAAGTATTTGAAATATTTTGTCCAGTAAATTTATATGAAAGCATAGTTCTAAATGCAGACGAGGGGTGCTATATATGAGACAGCAAATTCAAAGCAACGACACAGACACATCTATGAGGCAAGTTGAACGTATGTCATTCAGTGGACGTTGTTGTTTTCTTTTTTGTGTTATTCTTTTGTTGGTTTTAGCTTAATTCAGGCTGTATATTTTCTGCATTGTTTCACACTTTGCCATTCCGATGCCTTATGTAGCTTACTATACATTATTGGTTTACTGATTGTTGAAGGCCGGACATTGCCCTTCAAATTTTTGTTAACATCTTCGTCATTCAACCTCTGGTGGATAGTTGTCTCATAGCCAATCTTACCGCATCTGATTATTTTATCAAAAAATAAACTAGTCCCTTTACAAAATGTCAAGCACTAAATCGCTAATGGTTCCGCGGAATCCTGTGTCTCGCCTGCAACTGCTACTGTCAATGTAAAAGTGTTTTGTTTACTACCCAAAAACTAAGTCACTTTTTGGTAAAATACTGAAAAATCAATAAGGAAAAATATTGTTTTTTGCTGAGGGTGATAGCTCTTGATTCTGATGTAGCCTGTATCCAGGCTTTATAAAATTCAATAAAGGGTTGAAAAAGTATTGACGTGTAAAAAGGTGTGAATAAATTAACAAGGGTGGTCACTTAACAAAATTAAAGATCCTATTGAAAGTTATCAATATATATAAGAAGAAAATATGAAACATACATATTTATTTTATCAGCTTTTTATACCAAGTTGTATTAATTTCATTTTCAATATATTATCTTAGCTGATGTGAAATATAGACGTTGAAGTTAAAACGGAGTCGTGAATTACCATATTAAGTTTCCTTATTTGTAGAATACTGATGCAAGTCTGAGGTTTTTAGTGTTTTATGGACATTTGAAACTGTGGCAACCGTGAAATTGTTTTTCATCACGCAATTGGAAAACATCGTAATAACCAGATTAGCGTTAAATAACTGCTTGGATAGCCTATACAAGTTATAGACACGCTATATGGTTCGTCAAGTTCTGTTTAATATTGTCATGATTGTAGGACCTTCGATTTTCATATTGTCTACTTAGTTTCTGTATAGAGGCTAAATATTGGATACTTAATCAAATTTAATTGGATGGCACAATTGATTTTTTCATATATGTACTTAATTTGACTTTTAACAAAAAGGTAATGTATGTAGGTAAATGATATATATATTCTGTTGGTTAGAAAGGGAGAGAAGATCCCAAGGGGGCAGTCAAAAATCATAAATCAAAGAATGACAGAGAACACCATGACCGAAATGAAAACAATACGAACCCAACCAAATACCGGGGCGATCTTAGGTGCTCCGGAAAGGAAAGTAGGTAAATAGATGGCATTACAATATAAATTTTCCGATTGAAAGTAAAATCAAACCAGACCTTGAAATAACCAATACTTTAATTTTATGACCAAGAGCTTCTGATGTTCCCTCTTGCAAATTTGAATATGAAATACAAAAAGAGAAGTTTAATACTCCTTATCGCTATTTAGTCCAATCCGGAAAAAACAGTCATTTAGACAACTTCCTGTTTGGGTCAACAGGGTAAACAACAAAGGTCATCTGTAACGAGCTGAGGGAGGGAAAAATTTAGAAAGCGATCAATAGCAAACTTTGATAGATTATGATCCACTTTTTCGAAACTCAAATTATAGTCAAAAAGATATTTTGTTTGAAGTATTTACGATATTTTAAACAGGTCTCATTAAAAAGTATCATGCATGGTGCATTGTTTAAACAGGGCCCCAGATAGCTTCAACTGGATGAAAAAGTTGTGTAATTTTAGAACTTATCCCAAATGGAATAAATAGCGATTAGGTGTATTGAACCAGACAGCTCGCCATTTTGTCAGTTAACTCAACATATCTTTATAAGTCCTTAAATAAGAAGTTATATTTAGAATTGAAATCAACTGCATGTACTGTAGAGTAGCATAACGTTTCAAGAGAGTAAATAAAAGGTGATTGGGATCATACTTCAATAAGACATCAATCTAACGACAAAATAACCAAAATATATCTAGAAGGCAACACATAAATTTCAACAACATGCAAGGGTTTATACAACATATTTAGCTCTATATCTCACCGAGGCTTTAAGAGATGGGAATCAATCAAAGACCTGCCAATATCTCCATTATCTTCAAATGATAAAAAAAAATAAAATATGACATAGGACATAGGACAACAACTTACTAGAATTCTCAATACTCCTCAATCTAATTAAAATTAAATCTCCGCACTTGCTCCTCGTTGTTTATATGTCGCGCGTGGGACGCGCGACATATAAACAACGAGGAGCAAGTGCGGAGATTTAATTTTAATTAGATTGAATACTCCTCCTTTTCAAATCTCTACTAGTGGACTAACAATACGTGCATATAAGAACATATTTATATATATATATATATATTTAAAGAAATGTGTGTACTAGAGCAAGTTTATTGATTTGTCTCAAACCGGTACTTGTTTTCTAGCTTCAGAACACCATAGATACATTTACAGAACAATTTATTGTTATTTTATTCACTTTTTCGTGATTATCAATTCATTTTTATATCTATATTCTAATATCAATAAAAATCTGTACAGATTATTTTTGGTCTAAGATATGGCGACAATAATTTTATTGCATATTATCTTAAATCTAGAGCTATCATATGAAAAATGATCAAAGCTTGCGAAAAGTTATGTATATTGAAGGAAATTAAACACAAATGATTAAATACCGTGCTGAAAATTATTTTCCCGTAAAACAAGCTATCCTGTTTTAATGTGAACAATAACTGAAGGGAAAATCAAAGCGTTGATGCTCTGTTAAAGCAATTTTTTATCTAGAAATAATCGGAAAAAGTTCCGATGAACCCTTTGTCTCGCCTGCAACTGCGACTATCAGTGTAAAGGTGTTATGTTGACCACCCAAACACTTTATCAATTTTATAGTTAAATACAGAAAAAATAATAAGGAAAATTGTATATTGAGTTGATATCAAATGAGCTGAGTCAAATAGAAATCGACTTTATGCAAGTGCACGTATACATGTGCATGCATAAAAAGAGAGGCGAAGGATATCAAAGGGACATTCAAACTCGCAATTCGAAAATAAACTGACAACGCCATGGCTAAAAAGAAAAAGATAAACAAACAACAGTATAGAAAACCAAAGTTTGAGCAACACGAACCCTACCAAAAACTGGGGGTGATCTCAGGTGCTCTGGAAGGGTAAGCAAATCATGATCTACACGTGACACCCGTCATTTTGCTCATGTTAGTACAAACCCGGTGATAAGTCTAATTCGGTAGGTCACATTCGGGGAAAAGGGGACGGGATTGTAGTTAGGACAATTGGAACATATCCGTTGCCATTTGTGAAACGGATGTTCCATAACGGTCAACCAACTCGTGATGGAGTCCGTAAAATTTACGAAGGGACGATTTTAACTTCACCACTTGGAACTCTTGGTTGAATAGCTTCATTGTAAGCAGAAACCCTCTATCAAGGAAATCATGATAGGAAATACAAGCCCTGGAATATTGTATTAACTGGGAGATATACACTCCGTATGCAGGTGCTTCTGGAATGTTGATACATACAAATGGGAAATTCACAATTAGAAAGCTGAAATCATCTCTTTTGTCGTAAAGTTTTGTTTTCAACCGACCATGCTTGTCAATTGTTAGATGTAATTCAAAATATGAGGCCGACTTATCTGTATCTGTTGTATCCTTTATCTCAAGTTCGACGGGATAGATGCGTTTAACATAATCACCAAATTTAAATATTGAATTATATAGTGTATAAGACTTTGATTGATTTTGGAATATTCAAATACAAAATAAAAGATGGGTTTTGGTCTGTTTTGTAGAATTCTTAATATGTCAACTCAATTTTCAAACAGTTACAGACTTCGCATAGAGAAATAAGTTAACAGATGTATTGATATTCATTTGCATGAGGTCGATTTCTATATTTCTATCCGACGCAGCTCAGATATAGACATTGCAGCTAAAACGGAGTCTTGAATTACCATAATAAGTTTCCTTATTGGTAAAATAATGATGTATGTCTGAGCTTTTCTGCGTTTGTTTTATAAACAATTGAAACTGTTGCAACCGTGAAATTGTTTTTTAATCACTTAACCTGGAAGACTCCGTATAAATCAGACGAGAGTTTGATAACTCCCGAGTAAGCCTATAAAAGTTATAGATAATCTATATGTTTCTTCAATTTCAGTACAAAATTGTAGGACCTTCGATTTTTATTTTGTCTTCTTTGTTTTTGTATAGATGCTTAATATCAGATCCTTATTTTATTAAGTTGGATGCCAC